CTATGACAAGGCTTTAAAACAGACCTATAAAGTAGGTTTAATCCTTCTCCAACTGGTTCTGCTCAATATAATTCCACACAAGGTATTTATTTAAATGGCATACTGAAAGTGCTTCAGAGCTAAGGATCTATTTCCTTTTTGCTATGTAGATTATTTTGATCAAAAGATCAATCTAATTAAACTAAACCCTTAAAGCAATTAGATGTCAATCTTCTCATTCCACAAATATGCTCGAATCTGAAGGCTGGTCTCCTGAATTGTAATGTCCTGTTGGTTTCTTGACTGCTACTGCGGAATGTCATTACTTCCATAAGGAGCCGCGGGGAGCGCCTAAATTCCTTTGCAGGTAAGCAGGAAAATCACACGTGGGATTTCCCTCTGGAAGTCTGTCAAGAAGACTTCAAGGTAACATCTGTCGGAGGCATTAGGTGGACAAAGACCTGGATTATTCTGGGGGGGCTCAAGACATCCGCTTCAGCTTTGACCTTGAGCAGATGGGTGACTGTGGTTGTAATCTTCTGTTGAATCCCTTTGGTTATGTCTAACCAAGCTCCTAACGTCTGATCAGCCATATCAGAGGGCACCGTAAATGTGGATAATCTGTAGCCCTGTGAACGCCGAGAGCTTTTGCGACACGTTGTTGTCACGGTTACTGCCTCACTCTCCAACACGGCTCTGAGTGGCTGCTCCCCCGCCAGGAGCGCAGGGCCATCTCTGGGGAAAGGTGGCTCTGGAAGCATCCCCACCTCCCCTGCCTCCTGCCCTTCGGGCACCTGGGAGCCACACCGCCTGCCGTCAGGGCAGCTGTCTCTGCTCACCAGGTAGTCGAATGATTTACCTCTGCGGCAGGTTGACTGTCCTTCCGAAACCGAGGCACCAACTGTGCGCTGGCTTCGATGAAGTCACCGCAGATGCTGTGAACAGGTGGGAGCAGACCCGAGTAGCATGGCTGCAGAGGGGAAGAGCGCCGTCTCATTTGTTTATTGGATCTCTGCTGTGGCCGTTGCTGCCAATACAAGGCCAGCCTACAGAGAGACAAAACCACCAGGTAACTCGGAGAATGACGAGGTCGCCAAGGCAGTTAGAGCCAACGGTGGGTGTTTTCTTGGCAGTTATTCCCAATTCATCCACGTTACTTGGGGAATCCATTAAATATTAGATTCTCGGGCCTTGTAGTGAATTAAATGGTGGCCTTTCAAAAAAGACATGGCCATGTTCTAATATCTGGCCTGTGTGATTGTGACCTTGTTTGCCAAGCACCTTTGCAGATATAACGAAGGACCATCGTGGATGATATAAGTGGGCTCTAAATCCATTGACAAGGATCCTTAGAAGAGGAGGGGAGAGACACGCAGAGAGAGAAAAGGCTGCGTAGGGGGCAGGCAGGGCCTGGCGCCATGTGGCCGCCGGCAGAGGAGGCCTAGAACGCTGGCAGCCCCTAGAGCCCCTGAGGGCCGTGTCCCTGCCCTTGCCTTAAGCTTGGACTTCTGGTCTCCATTTCTGTGGCTGTGATTTGTTTGGGCAGCTGCGGGGGCTGATCCAGGCCCCACGCAGGCTTCCTGGAGAGACTCTTCGGGGGTGAGACCCAGTTCCCAAAAGCTCTAGTTATTCCGACCAGCACACAGGTTGGAGAAGCAGCGCCTGAGTCACTGGACAGGCTCAGAAGCCCTTGGCACCTGTCGGACCGTGAACCGAGAGCTTACAAACACGGTGCCCAGGCCACGCCCCGATGTGGAGTCAGGGGGCCTGCGGGAGACCCGAGCCCCCGCGTGACCAGTGTGCAGGAAGTGGGGAGCTGCTGGCCACCTGAGCGGTCACGGGTGTGCAGATGTGGCCCGGGTGGGGATGGGCGCTCCTGTTGGGCCTCCGTACGACTCCTCTCCAGCTGCTGGCACTGGAAGCAGCCCTGCCCTGGGTCCTGAAGCCTCTGGCCTCTTCTTCTGGCCCGTTCTCCCTCTGCCTACCCCTTTGGGTTTAAATGAAGTATTATTTACGTACAGAATATACAGATCATAAGAATTCTTTGAGTTTCAAAGGTTGGAACCATCTGTGCAATCTCCACCCAGTTTCTGCCCTTGGAATGTTCTGGAAACCCCCTCCTGCCCCCATTAGCTTTCCCAGCCCACAGGAGTAACAGTGCTGTGCTTTCTGTCACTATAGATTCGCTGTTTGTTCCTCCGTGTGTCTTCTTTTCTCCACCTATTTTAACCCTTTTTCTTTACGTTGGTTTTCATCAGTCTGACGCTGACATGCCCAGTGTGGCTTTTTGTCTTTATCTCTGAGCCGCTTGGGTTTGTGGGTTATTGCTTTTCATTACATTCAGATTTGTTTGTGGCCCTTCGGTCTTAAAGTATTTTTTTTCCCCCCTTGCCCATTTTCTGCTTCTCCATTCCCTCTGGGTCTCTAATTTTCTGTCTTTAAAGTATCATCTCTATGCTAAAGAGTCTGAAGACCTAGCCACCCACCCCTCCTGACCTTGCTGCCGAGGTCTAAATTTCCAGCGGGATCCTGGACATTTGTGTACCAGTGGCATTTTTATGTAAGATCTCTAGAAGGCTTTAGAAAATGCCACTGAGGGCAGGAGAGGTCTTCCCAGTAAAGCTGGAACTTCGTAACTGCTTAAGGCGATGGTGCGCCTTGAAATTACAGGGAGCTGAGAATGTTCACTTGTGAAACACACATAACAAACTTACAGTTATTGTGCGGCAAACTCGGTTCCTTTGGAGGGACCAAGCCAGTGCAACTTTTGAACGTAAGGGGATGAAGGAGCGGGCCTCGGAGGGTGGGCTTGTCCAGGCTGCCTGGACCACGGTCGGGGAAGGTCTGATGGTGGGGGGAGGGGTGAAGACTGAGGCCTGATTTCAGGACAGCTGGTAGTCCCTGCAGTGTGCGGGTAGGGTCAGCGCACAATGGGATCCAAGTTTTAAAAAGCAACCTGTGTGCAGTGAGGGGGGAGAGACGGCGATGGAGATTACTAGCTTCCTAGCTGAAGGCCTCTGGGAGCACACAGCTTGGTGGGGGGCCAGGGAGTAGGAAATGGGTTACAAACTGGAGGAGAAAACACGTAGCCAAAATTGTAAAATTAGATGCAATTTAGGATACAGAAACGACATCAGTGAGAGAAACCAGCATAAGGATATTGTAGGGGAGAAGATGAGAAAGTAGGGTTTTCGTTTATCTACCTATGCATAGAGCTCGGGGACAGTTCAGGTCTCAGTGCAACACACTAAATAACATCTAAGGCCAAGACTCCCTGGGGGACTCGTGCAGGCCTGGAGCTCAAGCCTGGCTGGGTTAGGGGTGTGATTTTTCCATTCTGAAATCTAAGAAGTCCTTGGTGTGTATAAAAGCTATCACTTGTATGCAGGGGAGGACCCAAGTTTTGTGGGCCCTGAGGCTTGGACAGTTTGTGGAATCTTCCCTAAGAAAGGGAATACAAAATTAAGTACTGGGCTTTGGGGTCTGTGAAAGTGAAGGGCCCTGGACTGAAGCTTCATTACCTTCTGAGTAAATCTGCCCACGTGCAGTGGAAGGAATGAAGCATCTGGGCAGAATAAACAGCCTTGGACCCCACCGTCCAGTTTAAGAACTGATCTGTGACCAGCCTCACAAAGCTCACCTCCCACGCTCTTGCCCAGCGGAAGTATCATTGCCCGGAACCTGGCTTATCTTTCCCTTGCATTTCTTTATAGAGTTTGCTACATATTATCTGTGTCCCCAAACAATAATTTACTTTTGCATGTTTCTGGACTTTATATATAAATGATGTTGAAAACCACGTTACTTTGCATTTTGCCTTTTTCGCTCAAACTATTTGTGAGATAGGTCTGTGCTGGTGCCCGCAGCGGCATTGGTCCCTTGTCCTTCTTTGTGTAAATACAGGCGGCCTCCTCTTTGCAGGGACCATGAAACACACGCATCCCGGAACCGTTTCCTCAGCCTGCACGGTTCCCAGGCGACTCCGTCTGTTTGGGCTGCTCAGATGGGGCTGCTTAAAAACAGCAGAAATTTATTGCTCAGAGTTTCTGGAGGCTGGAAGTCTGAGATTAGGGCGCCAGCAGGGCAGGGCAGGGCCCTCTTCCAGGTGGCATACTTCTCACAAGGAGGGAGGGCTTGGGGGTTCTGTGTGGCCTCTTGTAAGAGCACTAATCCCATGCATGGGGTGCCGTCCTCCTGAGCTAGTCACCTCCTAAGGGCCCCACCTCCTAATACTGTCACCTCCGGGAGTTAGGTTTTCAACATATGAATGCTGGGGGACCCAAACAGGACACAGCACCGGGTAACCGAGATTGTGTATCAATGGTTAGGAGACAAAGCCCAAGTTAAGAGTTCACCCAGCTGCTTAAAATGTGGTTCATTGGGAGGATGAGGTGTCTGCTGTGGTATTTTCTGTAATTCCTAAATGTCTGAAATTTTTGATTAAAATTAAAAACATTTTAAGCAAGCAATTAAACCAAAGAATGAACTAAATTAGGCAGGGAGACTAAAAAGAGGCCTGGGGGTCCTTCTGTCCCAAGTACCCTCCCATTTCAAGTACACATCAGAAATCCCACTGCAGACTGTTGTGGGAGGAGGAGGATGCTTTTTTTAAGGGACACATTGAAGCCACCACAGACAAGGGCATTCCAGACCTCTCCCAGGGCGGGCAGCCCTGCATGCTGATTTGTATCAACACTTGCGATCACACTTCTGTAGGTTGTCACTTTTCTCCACATCTGTAAATACTTCAAGTAACATACAGCATCCATAGCCAGAAAAGGCATTCCATTGTCTTGCCAATGGGTTTCAGCCTGGGGCAAGTTCACTATGGATTCAGTGTGGCCAAAGAAATTGACAGCAAAATGTTCTTGGGGTGAAAGGGTTATACCCAACTTTATTTCCAGGGGGCAGGTCAGTCACTAGAATCCCGTTCACTCAGAGTGACTTTGCATGCAGCAAGCTGGTCTCTGCCTCTGGGCCCCTCTGTCCACACAGCCGTCCTCCGGGCCTCTGTACTCAGCACTGCCACCACGCCAGCCTCTGCTCTGCTCTCCTGCAGCCTTGCAGCACTGGGTGGAGCTCTTTATATAGAGTCAACAGCCATGTATTATTGCCCACAGGTGTGCAGTGAGCTAGTCAACCAGGGCCAGGTGAGAATCCTGGCCCCAGGAGCTCTCCTTTTATCCACACACATAGACCAAAGTGACTCATTCACCCCTTGCTCGCTGGCAGTGCAGCCACAGCAGGGCGGGGGCCACACTGCCTGTGCCTCCGCAGTCCAGGCCCTTGCGCCTATCCCCTCAGTCAGTTGCCCTGACAAGTTTACTGCGCATGAGGTCCCCAGTTCATGGCAGGTGAAACAGATTTTACCAGATTACTAAATTCATGCACGTGCACAACCTTTCTGTGATGGCTTTACTGTATTTATCCTTGGTTTCCTACAGTTTTCAAATATTTCCAAATGCACTTCAAGTCAGATTCCAAAATATATGGAAGGGAGCTGCTTCTGACATCTTTTTGTTTTAATTTTATTTCAGATTTTATACAGTTAGACAACATAGAAAAGCATAAAACATTGACCCCTATCTTCTTATTTACATGATGTAAAACTGACAACAAAAATTTATCATGAAAGATGATGTTAAGTCGATCAGAAATACTGTCCATGGTGGATGATTCAATGAGATATGCTCTAGTCATGATTTTTCACTGTCCCAGAAGCTAATGCAGTTTGTCTACATGCAGCAATTAAGCAGTACAGTCACCTTTATGAGCTAACTGCTCTTTCCTGTCTTACTCAAATGGACTTACTCAAATGAGCAGCCCAGGCTGAGTCAGTGCCATTCACCGTCCACCAGGAAACAGCAGGCCTGCTCACCTCTTCTAATTACTTTCAGATCGATTATCTTCGATGACAATAGTTCTTCTAGGGTAGGACTCAAGTTCCACAAAGATATACCGGAATTCGTATTCGCCACTTCCTGGGTTCTGAAAAACAAATGAAGGCATTTTGCAGGTGCTCCTGTTCCAGAGCTTTCTGTCCCGCTGCACGCAGACAGCCCCCCACTGCGCCGCACACCTCTTTCACTTCCAGATGCACTGTTCCCTGCTTCCCAGGCTCCGAGCCCTCGATGTAGAATTTCACACGCATGTGTTTCAGCCCATCTTTTACATATTGAATAAAACTGTCAAGAAAATGAATGAGCACAGCCTAAATTCTTCTCATTTAAAAATCATCCCCGAGGTTTCCAACGTCAAGCAAATGAATACCTGACATGCTGCCTCCGGCCACGTCTTGTCATCTCACCATAGCCTTTAACAGGCTCCCCAAAGACACTTACAACCTGCAGAAGAAAGACAATGCTTTAGTCAGTGTTATTTTAAGCTTCCTAAGGAAGTATTTATCTGGCAAACCAAGTGATTTATTTTAGAAAAAGAATTCAGTAAGCCTGGGACCCTTTCAAAATGACAACGCCAATGAAAAAGAAAAAACATTATGCAAAAATCACCCCATAAGTAACTTAAATATTTCAGGCACAGAGATCAAAATAGTAACTTTATGGTGTTACTTGCAGTTTCAGAACACTGTAGGCTGAAGTGAAGCTGTTCCTACTCCCCTTACAAAAAACAAACACAACAGAGCATTCAAATAAATCAACACTTTTAGTGCCGTTTGTCTAATGGGGTCTGGTTCTAAAGGCTGTAAGACCTAGAACAACTTTTTACATCACTAAACAGTGAATCAAAACAAGTATAATGACCTTTTTAAAACCAGAGCTAGAGATGTGAATCAGTTATTCCTAATGAGCAACCTTACAATGAAGTGGCAATGTAGTTTTTACTGAATTTAAAATGCAAATACTTTGGACCCTTTCTAAAAAAATAGAAATTTGCTATCAAACTACAAACAAACATTGCCTCAACTGTATATAGCTTCTCTTATCTTGCCCACTGGGCATCCTCAGGCAGGCTGTACTTAAGAGATAAAGATCTGCAATCAAACAAACTTGGATTCAGGCTCTGGCTCCCCACTTCCAGATCAGTGATGTGTTGAGTTATTTTATTTCTTTGAAGTGTCAGTTTCCCCTTCTGCAAAGGGGATAATAGTGGTACCTAACACAAAGGTTTTTTTTGTGAGATCTGAGATAATGCCCTGAAATACTGAGCATAGTGCTTGGCACATAATGTGTTTCAGTAGGTGTCAACGATTACTGTTATGATCACAGGGGCATGAATCAGGTTTTTTAAAAGACTAGAAAGTTACCACATGAATTCAATACTCTGGTATAATCTAAGTATTTAATATCTTTGACAACTAGTGAAATGACTCCCTTAATTAGGGTAACACCCCTCCATGGATCTGTGGGTGCTTTTAATCAAAGAATTGTAAGTGCTGAACAAAGAGCTAACAATCACAATCCGACCGTTATGATTGTATTACTACGTACAGGAAACTTCATTAGTGTCAGAACCTGTGCCTGAATTCTGAAGCCCCCACTCAACCACCATTCCCTCCCCGTTAGAGTCTCTGTAACTCAGTCTCAAGGACCAACCTCTGGATGCGATCGGCATTTTTCTAAGGCTTTGCCATATATCTTATTAGGACTGGTTGAAGAGAAAAGTTCTCTGAAAATCGTGTAAAACAAGCCACCTGAAAATCACAGAAAGAGAAGGTCAAACAAGAACAAGAGCAGAAGTTAAGTTAAAACAATACCCGGGGGTATTATACTTGCTGTGATTTCAACCTGTAATGCTGATTCCAATAAGCACCACTATTAAGTAGGTAAAATCTCTTCCAGCTTCTTTCACTGTAAAGAGAAAACACCACGGGGTTACATGTGTGTCAGACGTCAGCAGGAACGCTTGCAGCTCCCATGTCTAGTAGGTGGGACAGGACCAAGGACCTAGTAAGCGGGTCTGTATGTGTTCTGGAGCAGCTGTTCTCCAATGTTCCTGCGAATTAGAACTACTTGAAAGTTTTTAAAAGGACTGCAGCAGAATTCTGGGCCTAGGAACCATTATTCATTTAGTGTTACAATTCCAGTACCTCCGAAGATGAGGGAATCCCTTGAACAAGTGACTCAGTCCCTCCGAGTGCAAACTCTGCTATAGATTAGGCAGAGGCATTGTGGCCCCTCTGTTAGGTATATGGTAGCCACAGAATAAAGATATCCACAGACTTACCTGGCAGTCATTTCTCTGATTTCCCTTGTGTACCTGGAATGAATACACACAGTAACTACCTCAGCTCCTTTGGTGAGTGGGGTGAAAGCCATCATAATGGAGAAAGTCAAAGGGAAGCCTCTGAAGCTGCCCCCGACTGACCAAAGACCGTAAATATTTATGCCATCATGTTAGAACTCAAACAGGTGGCACGTGTGACAGACTCGGTAAGGCATGTGTGGGGAAAGAGCCCAACAGAGCCAGGGCTTGCCAACCACATGGGCGACCCGCTCAGGAGTACACTGTATGAGGCACGCTGGGCACCCTATCCCAAAAAAGGACACACTATGGCATCCTCTAAGTTCTACCACAATGTGTGACAGGCCTCTGGACTCTGGAGGCAGCATCTTCCGTATGTGGGAATAATGCTCCCACCTGTTGGATGAGTCGTCTCTGAACAGGGTCCAGACCAGGAGGAAGCTCTGCAGCAGGCCCCGCCCACGGTGCACTAGTGCTGCTGGGCCGGAGGGCCTGATATGCCATCTGACACTCATGCGCCTTTGACTTCTGCACACAGGCTGTTTGTGTTAAACTTTTAGTCATCCCTTATGAACTGTCCAGGCTATTATGGATGAATGATTATATTTTTGACATTATGATTGGTAGGATAGTTAAATTTTTTGTTAACATTGAAAACTATGTGCATTGAAATGACAAACTAAAATATTAACAGTAGTCATCTTTGCATGGTATAATAGCAGGTTGTCTAGACTGCTTTCTCTGCTACCTTTTAACTCATGTTTTCTACAAATTCCTTGTGAAATAAAGAAATAGAATTAATGATCTCTTCTGAAAACTGATGCCTTTCTCTGATAGAATTAATTTCACCTTTCTATTTTATGTGTTCTGTTACTGCCTGTATCATCTGAAGGTAAGTGATTTTTTGAACATTTTAAATTCTGTAGTATATATAGTCTAACTCAGCATCTGGGCACAACAGTATTTACTTGAGATGTGTTTGAATTGATCTGCATGATTTAATCCCCACAGGTTATGACTGGATAATCTCTCCCACTTATTCTATCCAATTACTCTTCATCATATGCTGTCTTCTACTCTTTCTTTGTAATACAATGAATCTTTTCTCACTGTTTCACATTCTGTATCTATTTTCTTCCCAAATAAGAGGTAAGCTATTTGTGTATAGGAGTTCTTTGACACCCATCAGCATCCATTCAAGTACTAAGCAGAGAGAAAATGGAAGCTCAAGAAATACTTGTGAATGGCTGTCCTAAAGAGCATTGACCAGGATATTAAATAACCCAGACTAGGAAATTCGAGATTAGTTTGCACTTGTGTGAGATTGGGGAAGTGTGCCTCACGTGTAAAAGGAAGAAAACTAATGTCTGAGAGAGTGAATGCGAGACTCAAATGAGATGAAACAATACCTGGGCAATCCAACTGTCTATTAATGTGAAACAATTGTTTTAAATTTTATACAGCTCTCTCCACACCACAAGTAACCATAAATTGAGAAAGATTTTCTAGGTATATTCAACAAAGTTATGTCAAAATCAACTTTAAAATTTGAGTTCAAATCTGAAGAAACTGTAGCCTATGTTCTCTGATTCTGAACTGTGTTAAACGGTTCTACCTTTTAATTTTTACGAACTGTTGTTCTACAGCACGAACTCGTGCAAAAGGGCGTGGCAGCGCCTGTCGCTGGTGACTGATCTCTACTGGAGAATCCTCTTTACCTTTCTGTGCCGTTGGGATGGCGGGCTCCCCTCTCTGACTGCGCACAGACACTTGCTTGCTGCTGTCTTCCTCTGCTCCCCGGGGGCTCTGTCCCTGCGTCCAGAGGGTCTTCTGGGGGGCTCCAAGCACACGTCCAGGGCGCACTGTTTTCTCCTGGCCCGGCAGCCCCCATCTCAAACTGGGCTTTGTCTTCAAGCAAGCTTTACTGAGCACGAGGTGTGGCAAAAACAACCGTTTCCCCGAGGACCTGTGCAGCTTCTCTGTATATTGTACAGCTCGCAGTAAAGTACAAAGCATGTTCCCAGAAAACCGCTCCCCCCAGGGGAGATGCCAACCACGACTGAGAAGTTTCGCCACCCGCTACACACCCTGAGTTCTACACGTTCACAACGGCAATCCTGCACGGCGTGTCCGGCAAAATACGTTAGCTCCAGCAGCGTAAATTAAGACGAAAAGTCTCCCAAAAGACGTTGATAGCACCTCCTTTTCTTTACGGTCCCGTTTTCACTCGGATTAAAGAGCTTTGCTCACCTTCCAGGGGGACATTCACACTCTGCCCGCCATGGTGTGCACAGCAACCTGAAAACCCTTAGGGCTCCTGGGTATCGTAGTTTGAGGCGCTCACGCCTCACGGCATAGCTGTAGAGGGGAAGGCATGAGAACTACATTTCCCACAGTGCAAGGCGGCCAGGACGCCCGCTGGTCCTTTCACCACCTCCCAGATGCCCCTGCGCGGGCTGGCGCATGCGCTACACGTAGTCGACACAGCGGAGGGTGGGTCTATTTCGTTGGGGAATTTGCGCAGAAGGCGTTGTGTGGTATTTGTAGAAATCAAATTAATAATCACAAACTGTTATGTTCTCGACATCCTGTAGAGAGGACTGTAAACTGGGAAAATCTCGGTATTTCCCTTTCCTATTGCAAATGTAATCTGCGTTTCAGTCCCTTCCCAGGGAAACCAGAGAGGAGGGAAGTAAGAGGACAAGGTCGGCACAGCGCCACGCGGGGTCACAAGTTCCGAGCTGCCCATTTACTGCGGGACTTACCGGGCGCCAGGAAGACGGCCCGGGAAGAACCCGGCCCCTGGAAGTTCGCAGTAGCGGTGTTGACCCGGCGCAGTGCGGCATCGTCTTAAATCTCGGTATTTCCCTTTCCTATTGCAAATGTAATCTGCGTTTCAGTCCCTTCCCAGGGAAACCAGAGAGGAGGGAAGTAAGAGGACAAGGTCGGCACAGCGCCACGCGGGGTCACAAGTTCCGAGCTGCCCATTTACTGCGGGACTTCCCGGGCGCCAGGAAGACGGCCCGGGAAGAACCCGGCCCCTGGAAGTTCGCAGTAGCGGTGTTGACCCGGCGCAGTGCGGCATCGTCTCGGCCCCGCCCCTGCGCACGCGCACCGGGAGCGCGCTGGCGTCGGTGCGCGTGTTGCGAACCGCGACTCCTCCGAGGCAGTCGCGCCGCCGGGGCGTTCCAGCCGGGTTTCCATGGCGACTGGACGCGGCCGGCTAGTTCAGCAGCACTGCCGCGGCCTCCGGGCGCTGCGTTGGCCGCTCGGCGGCGGCGGCGCAGCCCCGGGGAGGGCCGGGTTCAGGTGACTCTCGGGCCGAGGCGGCTGGGCGGTGGTGCGCGCCCGGGGGTGCCTCCGCGAGCAGAACCCCGCACTCCCCGCTGCCCTTTCCTCTTCATCTTAACTCGTGGGGTTCTGGCGTGTCGCTCGCGGGCCTGTTTAGTGCGGAAGGGTCTGCAAGACCGGAGGGGTTCTCTCTCCGCCTGGGAAGCGTAGGCTTCCCCGGCTCGGACACGAGTAGAGCAGCTCCCCCGGGAAGTGTCCTTCTCCTCCGGCCCTGGGGAGCTGGGACACGCCGAGTCCGCTCCGGGCGCTGACGCTCCACCTGCGGAGCCGGGTGCGAAAGCGGCGGCACCTGCGCGTCTCGTGGAGGGCGTCCCCCAGAACACGCTCCGAACTCGTTTTCCTACTCTGGGAGCGTCTTTTTTAGGACTTCATAACTTTTCAGTTTTCAAACTGAATTTCAAACATTATCAGTTTTCTGCCCCCTCAGAATTCGTGGATGGAAGACATACCCATAACCAGATAATTATGTCAGGCAGGTTGGTCTGGGAGCTCTCCTCCTGGGGCAGTACTTTCTCAGATTTTAAACACAGAATGTGAGTATGAATAAATATAAACGGTAAAAAATGTAGCTGAAAGCATATCAAGTTGGCTTAATTTCTACTAAGTCTAATTTCTTTGATGTATCACTAAAAGTCAGGTCCAGGAAGATTTTTAAAAATATTGGGCTGATTCAAAGCTATCAGGCAAAATCTGTCACTTGAAAAAAAAAGTGTTTAAACCAAATGTCGTCTTACTACTTATTATGTGCAGTTAACTTTGTAGACATACAGACCTACATGAGGACATGCATGGAACTTAACTGCTGTGTGTGTGTGGCCCTTAAAAATGTGCTGTTGATTTTACAGAGAAATGAAGATGTACTTTCAGTAGTACCAAAAGCCATACTGGTAAGATATATAACAATACGACAGAAAGAGCTGTGGAAGGGCAGTGAGGAGATGAGGGTCTCTGGGGCTCTTGGCCTCCAGCCTGGCACCTTAAACAAGAGACTATAATTACCTCGTTAGAGCCTTGGTCTTCCAATCTGTGAAACAATGGAGCAAGGGAGTTAGTTACAAGTTCTGTTGTAATTACGGGAAAACAAAGTACCAATGAATAGGCTGTACTTCTCAAATGCGTAGGTGCCAGGGGCTGCGCGGGGTATCTTCCCTGCATGTAAACTCAATGCAGTAGCTTTGGGGAAACTATTAAATAAGTTCACTGGCAAGTAACAGAATCTATTTTTATAATAAGCACAGCTAAGTTACCAGTAGAATGCAACATTTGCATTAATTTTTAAGATCAAATAAGAGACTTCAAAGAAGTTTTGAGCTTCCTGTAGGCTGTGCCCCAGGTTCTAGGGGGGACCTAGTACCCCAGGATGCTGTGAATGCCTTTGAGAACCAGCAGAACTGCCATAAGGTAAGGAGCATCAGCAATTGCTGGAGACCACTGGAAGGGCAAGGAAGGACCCTCCCCTAGGGCCTTTGGAGGGGGCCCGGTCCTCCCAACACTGGTCTTTCGGTCTTTCGGACCGTGAGACGACAAATTTCTGTTGTGTTAAGCCATCTAGTTTGAGGTACTTTGTAAAGGCAGCCCTAGAAAGGATTATTTCACCTCTGATTACTGTGGTAGAGGCAGGTCAGTGGAGCTTTTCTGAAGCTTCTTTGCTGTAGAAGTCTTTGCTTAAACAGAAATTTCAATAGAAGTACAAACACACGTACTGCACAGGTGGAATGAATTCTCAGATTAAAGGGGGAGAGGGCATTGCAGTTTCTCAAATTAGCATCTCTTCCTGCCTCTTCCCCTCTTTGTTTTGCAGAGAACAGGTTGAAAACCACTGGTTCCGCCTGCTTTGCATTTCCCAAGTATGCATTGCCTAGAAAGTCAGAAAAGACAGAAAGCACACTGAGTGCCTTTTGCTGAAGTGGGAATGGAGAGGCATGGGTAGCCAGCATTTTTTTTTAAGCCCTTGTGAATTTGTTACCCTCCAGGCTATGGAAAGGTTTATTATACTCATCCTCTCCTAGCCTGAGATGCCCCTGTGCAGATGATAGCTCATGTGTATTGAGGGTTTACCATGTGCCAGCCATTATGCTTGTTTTTAAAAGGAAAACTGTCTGGGAAAGAGAAACTCCTTCTCCAGCTGCCCAGAAGCACATGGGGAATTGTTAGGTAGTTTGAGGGCCTGCTGATATGGACCTCTTGGCATACCCATCTCCACAGTCATCATCAGGCTACCCCAGGTCTGTGGGTGACACCCACCCTGTGCCTCCAAGGGACGGCTTGCACCAGGTTGAGGCAGTCCTCTGTTCAGATCTGACTGTGTGGCACTCATTCCTCTGCTTGCAGAGAGGTTATTGCTCTTCCTTCCAACTTCTTGGAGCCCTCATTTTGTCCCTGATTTTTGGACACATCATTTTTGAGTGTCAGTCCAAATATAATCAGGGAGTCAACTTGGTAGGAAAAGCAGGTGAACAAAATATGTACCCAGAGCAACAGCATTTGTGAACTGAGCCTGGGGATAATGTATACTCTAGGTTTTAGTCACTGAAATAACGTGTGCGGTGGGAGGTGGGCCAACAATTGATGTGTGTGGTAAAAAGCAGCTTCCAAACCTGTTCAAGAGAAACAACATACCCACCAGGGGCTCTTGCTGTGGGCTGCTGTCCAGAAGCAGAGGCTGTGGGCCCAGTGCCTTTCTGGGTGTTTCAGACCCCTACCATGCTGCTATTGAGTACTACTTATTTTGAGGACTGGGTAATACAAACTTACTTTAGGAACTTCTGGAAAGGATTAATTGCATAAAGTGTTATACCCTCTCCCCTCAAATCTTAAAAGCCTTGGTTATAAGATTCACTATTATTTTTTGTACCCCTAAAATAAAAAAAAAGATAGCCAATTAAAATATATTCATTGAATGTGAGTTGTTCAAATGTGAAAAAATCTGTGGCTGAGTATCGGTACTCCATGGCAAGGCCTGACGCAGCCGGTGTCGCAGCCAGTCACTGACCCTTGGCAGCCAAGCAGTAGGTTATGCTGGTGGCTTTGGTTCACAGATTGACAGGTGTGTTTTTAACTCTGTTGATGTTGTCTTTATTAGGTTCCTGTTGTATTATTGAAACTGGCCAATCTATTGATTTTATCTTTATCCTTTTTATTTCTATTAAATACATTTTATAGCACCTCTTTTATATGCTGACAGTCTCAATAGCACGTACTGGATCTTAGGTTTAAAACACACCAGAGTAAGTTCAATTTGAAGGTTTACTTAACTCAGGACACTGAATGTTTCACAATCCTTCCCCACCTGCCTTCCTATCTTTCTTTGCAGAGATGAAGTTTTACAGTGAGTAATCTTGGGAGTTTATGAATCCTTTATGATTTTGTAAAGGGGAATGGACAGTTCACCTTTCATTGTAATCTGATTTTTCCATGTTTACTTTCAGAAAGGAGCCAAGTGTCAAAGGTGCTGCAGGCAGAACTGCTCTGCAGCAATATGCCAGGTGGGAAAAGGACTGTGAGAAACCCCCCACTAACTGTTCCGTGTCCCTGGATAGGTGAGTACAGGCGTCTGTCACTCTGGGGTGGGGGTGGGGGGCTCTGGGGATGGAGTCCTTACAGAAATTTTAACGCTGTATATACCAAGTTTCTATTTTTGCTCTCCAAGAATAGAATTGTGTAGGAAGAATGTACAACATGGAAAGTTTGATATGAGTCATCAGCCTGTCACCACTATCATTATTAGACTAGTTTTTATGAAGTTAAACTTCTAAAAGTGACAAGTACATTTAATTTTCCTTTTTTAAAAATGTTCTTCAAAATTATTCACTTTCTGGTTGACATAGACCCTTGAAATAGGAGAAAGATTAAAATGTGCTCTTCTAAAAGGTCAAGAAGTCTCTGAATTTCTTAGCTCTCAGTGTTTTGGGAACCGTTTTGCTGTGGCAAGAGTTGGCACTGGGACCTCAGCAACAAGATCTGTAGAATCTTTTTTAAAAAAAATTTTATGAGATTGGTGCTGAAATGCCTGTGGGTTTTTGCTGTACTAGGATTTGTGGAGCACCAACTATATGCTAAGCACTGTGTGGAACCCGGAGAGCTCAGCTCACAGTGGAGGAAGTAAGGCTCACAGAGTCCACGTATTGCAGAATTCAGATTCAAACCTAAGTTGCCTGATTTCAAGTTTTGGGCTTCTACTATTCAAACTGTTTAATAACTGTTTAGTGAGCTAAAGTGTACATGTTTTTTGTGTGTTTTAAAAAGAAATGAAAAGCCAAAAAGGAAAGATTGATTTAAGGACCTCAGTTTAGGCTTTAAGCTGTATCCTCAGGGAATAGAATTTGCCATAAAGTAATCTCATCTAAGAAATAGAACAAATGTCTATTCAGTTAAACTACCCATCAAATACTTTTCTGTACCAGATACTGTGCTTGGAGCTGGGGCACGAGTGGGAGCCGTTCCTGTGTGTGCCCACGAGGCTTTCAGTCTAGAGGCGGAGAGAGATTAAAAAAAAAGTAACAATTTATAAATTGGGGCATTTGCTGTCAAGAGAACAAATGGATTCCCTAATCCAGAGTAGTGGGGCAGGAAGGTAAGGAAAGACTTCTGTGAGGTGGTGGCATTCGAGTTGAGAATGAAAAGTGCCCTTAAAGAGCTTGGAGAAGAGGGACCAAGAGGTGCGCCACGTGGGCAGGGGTGCAGGGGGGTGGTGAGTGAGCGGGAGGGGAGGCCACCTCTGCAGGCCCTGAGGGAGGAGACTGTGCCATGCACAGTGTGGTGAGTTTTGGGCCGAGAGCGGGGATACCTCCTAATCTGCTTACCTGTGTCCCTTCTTGAGGAGGAGGGAGATAGAGAGACACTGGCGAGTCTGAGCTTTGCTTGGGGTCCGACTCATGCCCAGTCAGGTGTGTGAGCAGAAGGCAGCCAGGAGGTGGGACCCTGGCTGCTGGCTGGGATGGGAAGGCGCCGGGGCAGAAGGGAGTCACCGCTGCAGACGCAGGGGGGTACTCGAGTTCGGGGGGTGTGGGAAGAGTCCACAGCCATGGAGAGGGTGACGCGTTTTGGGGAGATACTGGAGGTGAAAGTGAGGCGCCCCGGGAACAAGTCAGAGAACTGGGCCATTTAGAGCCAACTGAGGAGTCAGGAGAGACCAGGGAGGCCAAGGCAGGCGGGACGGGGCATGTGGAGCAGAAGAGGAGCTGCTGCTGAGCGCGGGCGGCCCCTGCGGGCCCCGGCGGTGGGGCCTGGCGAGCAGCCCCGAGCTGGCCCGGGTGAGGGTGGGGGGGGGGATGGGCAGGGCCTTTGTGTAGGGATATGCTTTTGTGTGTTACGTTTCACATCCACATGTGCAAAAAGCAAGTGGAGGCAAGGCAGCAGGTGCAGACAGGGCCTTGTTTTCTCCTGCTCTTTCCCGAAGCTTGGCAGTGGGAGCAGCAGGGGGTTCTGCGCTGGCGGGAGGGAGGTGGGGGTCAGGGAGAGCAGCATTTTAGAGGCGGTACTGGGGCGAGAGTTCTGAGGCTGGTGTGGGTGATGAAGAAGGGCAAGGCCTCTGACCCTGAGCCGGGCCCCTGGACCTCAGTGTGGGACGGGCTTGGCAAGGAGTCTTGAGCTTTCTCCATGGGAACAGGGAGCAAGGAAGTTGGAAATGCAGGAATATTGCAGGGTATTCACAGTATGGAACGGGGACAGGGGCATTTCAGACTTGAACTCTTATGCTGCTAAAAATTAACATGCACAAATTAACTTAGCTTTTCTCGGGGAAGCTTGTTGGCCTGAAGCAGGTTTTCTGTGCCCGGTACTGTGTGCCCTTTCGATCCTCCTGTCTCTCACCTGCCTCTCGCCTGCCTCTTCCCTTTTCCCTTCCTCCCCTACTCAGAGCGTGTGAGGTAGTCAGAACCCATCAGAACCCAGTGTGAGACAAGTAGAACCCGGGACGGGTGCGGACATCGTACCAGCTTCGAGGAAACCTCATGAGCCATAATTAAGAATGTCTTTGGGCCTCAAGTATTGGAAGTACAAGCAGAGGTTTTCTCCTTCTGCTAGAAGCACCCCCTTTATTATGTTAGTCGGGGTAGGAGGGTAAACCTGTCTAATGTCCATCTTGAATAAGGTTTTATTTCATTTAAGAGATTGTTACAATTGCTGGACACCTTCCTAAAATGTTTTCTTTAAGCCTGACTCTACTTTTGTTTTTTTAATTACACTGGTTTAAAAAATACCTGTGAATTTTTGTGAAATAGTTCAATCAAAATACAGAAACTATATGCAATGGATGATCCGACCGGTCACAGAAATGTTTTTTCCTGCAACTTTGTCATCTCTAGCGTGAGAGACTTTTTCTCTCCAGAAGTGGCTGCTTTATTGACTCTGAATGTAAGACATTTCATTTGGGGGGAGGGATCTATCTATTTCCCAAGAAAAACTGCCTGTTTAAACTCTCAGAAAGTCTCTGCTTACGTATCTCAGAAGCTTTTGATGGAGTAACACTTACATAGAGACACCCATCAAATATGTCTTGCATTTATCAGCTTTTCTCTGGGGATCCACTTCATTCTTTCTCAGTATAATCAGAATTTTAAGAATGATTATTTCCCTATGAAACATTTGATAACGTAATTTTCATCATAATTAAAAAAATGTAAACTAGTTACAATCACAAGTGGAGTGTGGCAAGCCATTTTAAATTGGCCAAAAGGTTTGGTCTCCTCAACTCTTCACCCCTAGACACCCTCTGCCCAGTGTCTTTAGCTTCCTTCTCATATTGTCTCATACTGTCGTCTGCCCGAGGGTCATGAGGGCCCGTTCCTGACTTCCTAACACTGGTGATGCTTTCTAGGCACTTCAGATTCTTGTAGTGTTTTGTACAATCCTAAGCTTGTGATAATACATGGGACACTGAGAATGCATCGCAGTTTAGTTAGGCAATGAATGCAAAGGAAAAATGCACTTGAGAAAATCTTCTGGAGCTCGGGGTCTCCCCAAACAGTCCCAGCGCGAGGATGTGCAGGTGGCGGGGCCAGGGGAGCAGTGGTGGTTAGGGGGAAGTGACTTCTTTCCTGTCCCACTATGGGGTTTTTTTTTTTGTGTGTGTGTGGGGGTGGGGGGAGTGTTCTGTGATTTTTAAATCAATAGCTAAGGATGCATTGTTTCTGAGTTTCTCTGACCTCAACAAGAATAATAGATGTGTTCATGAGGGGGCAGTGGAGGCCGGCCCGTTCACCCCGTGTGGGGGTGCGATGAGAGTGCCGAGGATGTCAGCGTCTGTGCCCTGGGGTCCTTGTCGGTTCGTGTCCTAGGAACTGAAAACCAGACATTTCAGGGGAGAAAATACTGACGAGAAGTGTGCAGTTAGCCTTCTGTGTAAGAGGGTCTGTTTGTCGCCTCCTGTTTGGGGATGTTCGGGCAGGTGTTCCCTGGGTAACTTGTGCCTTAAGCGCTCCCCTGCTCCTCCGGTCTCCTCTCGTCTCAGGATGCCTCCGGAAATCCTGCTGAAGATCTTTTCCTACCTGGATGCTGCGACCCTGCTTTGTGCTGGATGTGTGAACAGGCGCTTCTATCATCTGGCCAATGACAAGTAAGGAGACAACCAAACCCCTGTTAGGTTTCGATGGCATTTTGATGTGGAAGTCGCGAGAACTCGTAAGACCTTTTTAAATGTTTTTTAAAATTGAAAAGAATTTTGTGAGTGTTTTTAGGCATAGACGCAATAGGTCTAAGGAAAGAGCAAACTTGTTAGTGGAAGAAGTGGCCCGGTCTGGTGGCCGGCAGGACTTGCCGTCTTCCCCGAGAAGCAGACAGACCTACCCCCGCCGTCTCCCGCAGCCCCGGGCACCCACCCCGGCCGGCCCTGCCCTTGGTTGGCAGAGCAGGGAGTGTACGCTTTGCTGGCGGCCACGCAGATCCTTAGGTGGGAAGAGGAGGGGCTCTGTCAGGTGCGCTCAGGGAGAACCCGAAGGGCAGCATGGATGAGGCGTAGGAGAGGCTGCGGGTGCCCTCCGACTGAGGCTTTACCCAGGCAGCGGGGAGCTGGAGAGGATGAGGCCCACCTGGCCCGCCTGGCCTGGCAGGGCACCTGTGAAAGAAGAGATGGGACTCTTTCTTCTGTTCTGTCACTGTGGTCATTGTCTGCAACCCAGAATTTCCTCTTTGGGGGTGAGACGGTGGAATCCCAACTTCTGGTGGGAGTGGTATGGCCCACAGCTTGGCTCTTAGGGCCCCCCCCTTCAACATGAGAAGGTCAGACAGATCTTGATCTCACACAAAACCACCTGCCCACCAGGGAGAAAGTGAGGGAATGCGGAATCACTGGTAGTTTGCTGAACGGATGACACGGAGAACGGCTGAGGGAGAGCTGTGATGGGTTCCGTCTCGGAACATGGAGGGTGAGAAACAGCTGGTGCAGTGGCTCTCAGAATGCCATCTGTGGGATGACTGCATGAGAACTGACTGGAAGTTTGAAAACATCTGGACCCTGGCCTGCATTTCTGGAGATTTTAATTGTGTGTTCTGGTATCTGCATTGAAAAAAATTCTCCAGGTCATACTAGTGAATGTCAAGTTTTCATAATCAGAAGGGGGCCTAATACCATTCTCTTGTTGTGAAGGGTGGTTTTTCTTTTAATTTAAAAAGATGTTTCCTCTGTGGGAGACTGTGTTGGTCTGTCTATGTCAATAGACACACACACACATTGAGTGAAATAATGAATCATGTTCTTAACAATAGTCCTAGAATGAATGTAGAGCAATTTTTATCCCTTCCTTAATGACCCTTAATGAGAGGTGGAGGTGCTCACTAAAGCAAAATGCAGGGAGGCGTTTTGCAAGAAACGGGTCAATTACATGTCCCCAACAGTAGCTTTCTGGAGGGTTCTTACTTTAAGGATAGAACTCAGATTACTTAGATAAGCTGAGAAATTATAAGTTTCTTAGCTCCTGCCTTAACTTTAGAGGCCCATGTGGTGCAGGCACCGGGCCTCCCCGTGGATTTGGGGCCATAGTTCTCATAATATCTGGTGTACTTGCATTATTAATGATGCCCCATCTCAGTTTCTTGATGGTTGTCCTTAAAAACTGAGTTTATGATGAAATTACCATCATGTTTGTTTACTTTTTGAAGTTGTGTATGTTCTTTTTAATTGTATAAGTTGAATTGTAGTTTTAAGAGTCGTAGTCTGACTTCATTAAACGATGTGTGCACAATCAAATGGGTGAACCAATGTTTTTGAAAAGTTAATAGTATTTTCCCAGCATTGCTTCTGAAGAGGAGACCAGGAGGCACATCACACCCTTTACCCTGGTGGCCCATGGGCGGCCTACTGGGGGGTGGGGTAGCTGGTGCTCCGTCCATCAGTGGGGTCACCTCTCCCTCTCCAGAGATGCTGTCTGGGGCCCAGATGTTCTGACCTTCCCCAGTGAGTTCTCCATGTGCGCATTGTGGCCCTCAGCATCCGTGTCAGTGTCCACATGGACGCGTGGGTCCGGGAGGCGTGGACCAGGCTGGGTCCGATCAGCATGTGGGGTTTTTATTTTTCAGCACTCTGAGAAGCACTTTATCAGAACATTGAATTGGCCCCATTTTCAGAACAACTTTTTTGATTAAAGCCTTTCTGGACCTGACTGATAGAACAGATAAATACGCTCTTGTCTTCATGTCTACTTTAGCTTTTTAACAGGATGGAGCATGTGGTGATGAAGAGATGAATGTGCTTGGGTTTTGGAGATTGTTAAAAGCCTCTTAAACTTGATGTTTGTGTTTTACAGATTAGGGGAACGATCTGCACAGTACTTTAATTCTATAGCGTAAAATGTTTTTGTCCTCTTTAGTTTTCACTTAGGGTAAATCCGGTAGGATGATGTGTGCGAAAGTGGCTTATCTCACAATGTCAGGTGCGGTTGTTGTCACTGAGCTGTGTGTGGGGCGGCTCTGCTTCCCTGCCCCACGGCAGCGTGCGTGTAGTCCGTGTGGGCTGATGTCAGCATGGAGGCAGCCTCAGTTTGATGTAAGAAATTTGAAGTCTTGCTAAAGCAAAAGAAGACGCAAGTGGAGTGGAATTATGAGTAAATAATTGTGAAGAAAACACAAACAAGCTTCTGCATAAATGGAATTTTTTTAAAAGTGTTCAAGGGCTTTTGGAGAAACTGTTTTGGATTTGCCTAGATGTACTATGCAAATCATCCATTTGCATTTATTAGCTCGCATATGACAGCCCAGAAATTTCTGAATTGAAAATATAAGTATGTTAAGGCAGAGAGCGTGGTGTGAAATGGTTTTGTGGGCCGAGAAGTGACTTGGAAATCTATACTAGAAAGATGCCAGTAGGGATCCAAGAATGTGTGGGCCTGCTGGCAAGTCCATGTCAGGCCTGGGTGGAGGAGACTTGTTCCCAGGTCCTGTGCTGGAGAAGCACTCCTTTTGTGCTGTGCTTAGTCCTGACTGAAGGCTGTCACCACGAGGGTCTAGCATCTCCCAGGACCTCCTGCAGCCAGGAGGACATCCCCTCCTGGCAGGAAAGTGCCTTGTGCCAGGGGTCCCTTGAATGTTGGTCGTTTCATCTCTTCCCACGCTAACAAGAAATGTGGAATCATAAATCAGCAAGTAATTAAGTTTATTTATGTAAAATTCACCTTTCACATTAGGAAACCGATTTTAATCCCTGCCTCAGTTTCTCTCAAGAGGCATTTACTTCATTTTCCCGAAGGGGAGCCTGGCTGGAGAGAGGGGCCCTGGCCTCAGCTTTGGCTCCTGCTTGTGTGACTTCCTGCCGGCCCCCATGGCAAGTGGGGGGATCACAGGGCTGAATTTGAGTCCAGCACTGTAGCTGATTGGTTCTGAATGTGAGTGAATTGCTCTGTTTCTTTGAGTCCGTTTCTTTGTTACCGAAGGCGGTGACGTGCAGGGGACTCAGTCCTGGTTCTACCAATTAATTCCTGGTGTGTACAGATGGGCCTGGGCCTCTGTTAGGTCACCTGTTCAGTGGGCACAGTAAAAGTAGCTACTTCAGGGGTTGCTGTGAGGATTAAATGAGTTAATGTATATGAAGTGCTGAAACATAATGCTCAAAAATTAACTGTCATTGTTATTTTTTCTTTTCCTTTTTTTGTTATTGTGCAATGAATTACTCATTTTTTATCTTTGTGCAAGCAGTACATGTTCATTGTTGAAAATTGAAACAGAAATCAGAAAACATACAATTCTGTTATTCGCTGTTGATACTTTGTGTATACATATATATGTATATGCTCTTTTAAAAGAAACATGAGTATACTTAAAATCAGAGGAATCACACGACTTCTTACGATTTTTCTATAATCTCCTGTTCACTCACTGGCTCGCATGATCACAAATAACAGGAGATCCCTCATTTTAACTTGACCCCGGGGGCCAAGCTTTTCCTTTTGTATTTCTGAGGTTGCTCAGGCTGAAACACTTACCTCAAGCTGCAGTTCAGTTTAATATGAACAGCTAGAAATGTGCAGCTTGATTTATCTGTGGAATTGGACTATTTAAAAATCACGGTGCACCTCTAACTTAGTGTATTACTGCTATAGGTACATGACAGTGTCTCTTAGCTAACATGTTTCCTCTTTTCCTTTAGTTTTATTTGGATCAGAATCTACTCCACTGCCTTTTCGCCTAAAAGATTTAATTGGGAAGTTCATTCAGTAGAGAAGACAGCTGTGTCTGTGAGCTTACTGTCAGTTGAGGATAAAGAAGCTGGATACTGGAAGAAAGAATATATTACAAAACAAACAGTGTCTGTAAAAGCAGCACTAGCTGAGGTTCTCAGACCTGTCAACCCTTACACGGGCCTCCCAGCTAAAACCAAGGAGGCGCTCAGGTACGCAGTGTCATCTGCACAGTGGGCAGTGGGCACTTGAGAGTGCTGTTAAACATTGCGGTGTGTGTCACTTTCTAAAAGGATGGTGTCCGCTCCAAGTGCTGTGCACAGAGGACATACGTGAGGTTTATATTGTGAGGTACTGTCTGATATTTGTGTGGGTTTCCGTGCGTCTGTAGGGTAGATAGTGTCTTCCCATTCCATATAAATGGCCCAAAGTTTTACGAAAAGCAGAAATAACCTAGCAGTCTGCTCTAGTAAGGCAGGAACGGTCAAGGCATCCCACCTTCCGGGCGGAACGTCTGTCTTCTGTACCTGTGTACAGCCCGTACTGAGGACGTAGGAGGTGCTCAGCAAGTGGCAGGAAGGTGCCAAGAAGCGTGAGCAGAGAGCTGTTGGTGACGCGAAGTGATGTCGGGCATGTTCTGGCCCTCGGCTTTGGCTTGTCGGGCGTAGATACTTTAGACTCGACGTGTGAAGTAGACTTCAGCATGTTTTTTCTTCCATGAGCCCGTGTTTAGCTTGCTTTTCTGTCTCCAGAATATCGGGTTTAGGTTGGGTAATTATACTGAAGGAGAAGAGTGGAAGAGAGCACGTCCTGAAGCACGTCGATCTCTCCATCAATGACGCGTCAGCTACAGCCGTGTGGTATGGCAAACACTGGCCACGACTGGCCGCTCTGTCAGGGCTAGATCTGTGCGGGGTGATGCCAGTTTTTATGCACCGGCCTAAAACCCCCTCCAAAAATGGGTAAGTACTAATTCAGCAGAACTTTCAGGTGAGAACATATTATATGTAAATACTAGTTGGCATTACTGTTGTCATTTAAAAATACAGCCAGTGTATTTTAATTTGATTGCATCTTGAAGACTTGTCTCTCATTTTGGGTCAGTATAGAAGAGGAGAAGGAGTTGATCACATTTCTGATCAGATGTAAGTTTAGGTTCTTCCTACCATGGTTATCTGTGATGGGGAATGACCTCTAGTTAACAAAGTCCCCTGATGGCTGGCTAACCTTTGGAAGTTTTTAGTTTTAACCATTTTTTCATGAAGATATACAAAACTATTATGTATTCCTGCTTTAGTGAACAGCGCAGTCAGTAATCACAGTTCAAACATTAGGTCATAAAGTCATAATTTTTAGTTATATTTATGTGCCTTTCTGTTGACCCTACTTGTGCAAGTAACTTACTTTGCCGGGCCTCCACTTTCTAATCTGTGAGCTGGGGTGGTGGTGGTGATGGTGCCCTAGCATGTAGTACGCATGGCTGCTGTGAGTGCATTGACCAGACACATGGGTATCACACTGCTGGTGAGTATTGGGTACTTATTCTGTCCACTCACTATAAGGCTTGCATCTTGCTTTTTCCAACAAACTGCTTATTTTTCTCATCTTTAGTCATTTTCTCCTAAAAGCTGAACTGTGGCATGTGGAGCATCCTGATCTGAGCAAGCAACTGTGTTTGTGTAAAATTTACGGCCACTGCAGAGGTCATGGCTGCCTTCTCCAGGGCTGGCTTCCAGCCCTTGACCTCCAGTGGGCGGACTGACACCGTGTCTCATGCCTCCACGTGGCACCGGTGTTTACTGCTCCCTGGCCTCCCAGCCTTGCTGCCGTGGTCCCACCTGTGGGTTCCTCTCACACACACCCTTGCTGTGAAGGTGTGCAGAGAGCTCATGTGTCCTGCTGTCCAGGAGGGGCAGTGTTCTTCCTTGGATTTCCTCCATCCGGCCGTGTTTGCAGCATTTAGCTGGGCACCTTGATTGTGGCTCCTCACTTTGGGGGCGGCTCTGTGGGCTGCCCAGTGGTCACTCTCAGCTGTCAAGCTGTCTGTCTGAGGACCATGCTTCTTAGTGCTGGGAACGCCAGTCTTTGCTGCATTCTGCAAATGCCCTTACTGCTGTGAACAAGAATACACGAGTTCTTTTTCCTGATTATATTACAGAAGATATTTTGAAATACACTTTTTAGAATGATACTTCTGTTTGGATAGATCTCTGAAATTTCATACGGTATCATGATGGACAGAAGATTTGTCTAATGTGGTGTGTGGTTTTAAGCACTATGAGATGCTGTTGGGGCATGAGTCCACAACGTGTGTACCAGTCAAACAACATGTTCCTTGGCATGTCATGAAATATTTTATCGGTATTAGATCAAAATTAACATGATTGTGAAAGGCTCATTTGAATGGATAGTTTTGAACTGTGAAGCTCAATTAAAGATAATGTGCTCCTGAAAGCTGCCATCCAGGTCAGCAGTACAGATACTGCAAGTGACGGAAATGCTACAATTCATTGGGAAAATTCGTGTGCTAGAGTTTCTTCCCATTAAAACTCAGTGGTCTTCAGCCAGCATTGGATAAATTGTGGTGAACAAACACAGAAGGTGCATTTCAGGAATCTGTTTGGACCTGCATTTTAATTGCAGGTTTGTAAGCAAATACTTTCATCGTGCAGAAACAGGGATCCTTACATGCATCTGTGTGACAGCAAAGGAGAGATGTGGCAGTTCATTTGGGTCTTTTTTGTTTCCTTCATGAGATTTTTTTTTAACAACAGTGAAAGCCTTAGGTAATTTGCAACTTGAATTTTCATTAAATTTTCTCCTTTGCTAGTGTTCTCCATTCTGCAGTTTGTGGGGTGTCTCCCCAAATTTGTGAGAAAGGTTGGGTTAACATCCACCTTGGTTTCTCTGTCGGTAGGCCGGGAAGTCAGGGTGCATGGGGTGAGCACGTTCCCTGCGGGGTCTGTTCCCGCTGCTCAGCCATGTTGACCAGCGTTCTCTAGTTAGGGGTGCACTGAGGAGTGGCCAAGGGGGTATTTCACAGCCCCCTGGCCTCATCTGTCCCCACCAAAATGGCAGTCCCCCACCTGTGAATGAAGATCAGCCTGGACCGTTTTGGAGCTAAGGCTTCAGCTCCAGCCCCTGACCCCACCCCTGGGTCCCCAGCCTGTGTTTGACACCCTCCTAGTGTGCTCTGCCGGTGCTGAGTTTATGTTTAGGGATGCATCATACGCAGCTCACCCACCTGCCTCTCCCTGCCCCAGGTGGCTCTCAGCCCAAAGAGGAGCTCCGAGATTAGAATGCGGGGCTGGGGCTGTGCGGTGCCACAGAGCGGTTTGGATGCTTGAAGCTCTCCTCTGCTGTGAAACAGTGCCAGGGCCCAACTCCCTGACATTCTAATTCTTTAACTTAATGAACATTTGAACCCCTATCGCCTGCTGGCTTGGCCCTAAGTGCGCCAGTGACTCTTGGATGTGATGTGGCCCCGGCTCCGTAGGGGCTTCCCTCTAATGCTGAGCTGTGTCATTGACTTTGGAGATCACATCCCTCTTGTAGTTGCCTGAACCATCTTTACGTTCCTGGGAATGACAAACATCTGTCTGCCATTATAGTGCTTATAAAATGTTTCACTCTGTTGATTTTAAGTCTTATGATGAATAGAGAGTTGAGTTGTGTTTCCTGACTGACTTACTCTTAGACACTAATTCTTACAGTTCACAGTGTATTTCCTTCATGGAAACGTACATAGTTTTGTTTTAAATTTATTTTCTGATGTTAAAATTTTCATTTTCTCTGAGGTATTCTTGATAGTAACTTTAAAAAGTATATCTGCTTTCAGCTAGCCTACCGAGACCACATGCTTTCTTGTCATTTAATGTATTTTGCCTTTATGCATTATCTGACTCAGGAATGCAAATGAGAGTCTGCTTTGACCGCAGCATTGTGCCGGGTTTGGAGGGAATGGAAAGCGCTTCCACCTCTTCCTTTCATGACCCTAATGCCACCTGTGCCCAGGCCACTGAGTGAGCGGGCGGGAGGGAGGGACACTGCATGAGAAATGGGCCCGCTGGCCTTTCACTTGCACAAGCTGCTCATGTCCTTGCCCGTCAGTAGGTCACTTGTTAACAGCGTGCACACACTTCAGAAATATTTTCAGATAACACAACACTAAAGAGAACTGGTAACACTTCAGAGGTGAAAGCTCATTTCTCCTTCTTCTCTTCGGCATGGATGTTCACAGACCTCGATGGCATTCATTAATGGCAGAGTACAATCTGAGTGATCTAACTGGATCCACCATGATTGGCTGTGATGGGCTCATTCGGATCTTCTGCCTCAACCCAGGCCTGCTGGTGGGGCTGTGGAAGGTGAGAGTCGAGTCCCTGCTCACGCCATGCGGTCTCCTCCCTCTGCTGTCCTGCACCCACCCGCTGGAGCATCCTCTCAGCCCTGTCACCCAGTGCCCTCCAGGAGACCCTCTGTCCTGCCGGGGCCACGGCTGGCGCCTCCTGCCAGGTGCCTGTTCCTACTGCAGTGTCGTGGCGCTGCCCGAGTCTCTCTCAGCACGTGTTCTGAGCCTGTGGGGGTGGCATTGAGTGTGCTCTGCCCTCAGGATGAAGTGTCTGAGGAGTTATCCTTTCCCACCAGATGAGGTCTCTTTTTCACTAGGTGACACTCTTGGCTGGCTCCCTTGTCGGGGGTCATTTTCTGGGCAGGCGCTTCAGTGAAAAGCATCATAGTGTGGTGTTCCTCTGTGCACCACAGGTTTGTTGAAATCTGTGGCTTTGACCTGTGGCTGTTTTAAGATAGCAGTTTACACACTGTGTTCTGAGAATAACAGCGCGCATCTTTACGTGGTGACTGGACAGAACCAGGTCTGCAGCAGCCGCATCCTCGGACCCTTTCCTCAAGCAGCCGTGGCAGTTGGTCCCTGTCCCTCCAGCTTCCTGAGGGGGCGTGACTTGTGGGCCGGGCACAGGTACTGCTGTGCTTGCTTTGTGTTTCTTGACCTGCACTGGTCAATCTTTGTTGGCCCCCCAGTCACGAGGACTATGATCTGATTGTCCTCCCTTGGACTGCCAGAGAGCAGGTCCTTCACATTTACATTCTGGGTTCCCCCGAGTCAGCTGTGAGTTTGGGGAGGAATGGAGACCAGTTCCTGTATAGTCACGTTTTCTGCTACTCAACCCGACCGATGAGTGGAGTTTGAATATAATCATTCACTGGCTTTGCCAAGTCAAGCAGGTACTCGAGAGAGGAATGTTATGCTACTAAGGTTAAGTATTTGTGGAATTAATCATGTATCTTTGAAGGTCTTACCAGTGTTGTCTTGATTTTGGTAAAGAGTTGGAACAACCTGGAATAAATAACATGTGTTATTGAATCCATCATACATAATGCAGTGTTCTGATGTCTCACAAGGACTAGGATGTTAACCCTTCAGATACTGCACACTCTGCATGTTTGGGTTGTCACTAGGACACTAAGCCTCATTAGGCAGTAATAATGTTTTAGCAGTAGCAATGCAGGTGCCCTGTGGAAACCTTAGTTGTAAGAAACTGCATCCATCTGCAGGATGAATGCCATTGATGCTCACAATGCCATTGTGAAAAATTAAAATATTTCAGTTGAAAAATGTATTCTTTTTAATTAACTTTCAGAGGGAGGAAGAACTGGCTTTTGTTATGGCAAATCTTCATTTCCATCACCTTGTGGAGAGGAGCGCATTAGGCTCGGCCACTGTGTATGTATTTGTGTGTGGGTGTATCACTTTTTGTGTAGTCGACGTAAAGATTAGAAGTTGATACCATCTAAATATCCTGAGAATAATTACAAATATACTCTGTTTTTAGTCAGCAGCCAGGCATAATTATTTAGCTCTTGCTGAAACAATTGGATTATTCATGAGCACACATTTACTTTCTTTGTTCTGGGTTAAGGATTATGTCCCTAGTGGAGTATTATTTATAAGGGCAGGATAGCTTCATTACTCCAAGATGCCAGGGCACTAATCCTCTGTATGCATCCTTGGTACACATGCAGACCCATGGCCTCTTGGCTGGGCAGGGCTGGCAGATGTGCTTTTTCTGGGTCTGTACAGCTTGTGTCTCCAAATGAGTTTGAAGGTCTTCAGGAGGTGAATATACATTCAGTTTCACTACAGCTCTCATGCTCATTTTAAAAAATCACCTGCAAAGCTCCTGAATGCTTTTGAGTTTGTTACCTTATATATAAAGTTTTTCTTACTGAATAAAACTTTGTTTAGCTTTGGGTCTTCTGCTCAGGGTCCTGACCTGTAGGTCTGCTACGTGGTGCATTTTCCTGCTGAGCAGGTCTGCTCTGTGGCTCCTGGCCCCCTGGGTGCAGGGCGCCTTTGCCGACCTCTGCTGCCCTGGGGACAGGTCTCAGAAACACGTTGGCCTGTGGTGGTCCTGTGGACACCTGTGGAACTCATATCTCTGCCTGTTTTTATAGAAGTTGGTGAAGTACAGAAGTAATCAAGTATAGAAGATACAGGAGTTGTTTGAGTTCATGGTATGAATATGATTGGGAATCCTACACAGAATTGATATGATAGCTGGTGCTTTGAATGGATGTTAATATTTTAAAAGGGTTTTTTCAATTCGAGCATTTTATCTCTGGTGTTGACAAATTTGTGTATATGCTTTGTTTTGCTTTTTAGTCCTTATGAGCCGCCTCCTCATAGCCCCCTTTTGGATGACAACCCAGAATATGGACTGCATGACTACCAACTCCATGTTGATATGCACAGCAGTGGAATTTCCTACCTGAGTGGCACATTTCGCAGTCTCTGTACCAAGAAAGGTGAAACGAATTGACTTTTTCTTTCAGTTTGAAATTAGGAGATTGGAGCAAACAGAGGACCAGTTTTATATCTGAGTGAAGCTCTGTGCTCCTAACGAGTCATTGCATCTCTGTCGGCTCGCTGTCCTCCCAGGCCCTCTGGCATTCTAGGTCTTGTGAAATACCTGGCCAACTCTCATCTCTGTAGCTTCTGGCTCTGGCGTCTTCATCACCATCTCTCTGCTCTACCTTCTAGAATATTCTCTGTGCATCTTTTCTATCGATACTTTTCTTGTTGTTTTGACTGCTCCCACCTTCCCCCACTTCTTCTCTTTATCTCAAAGGAATCTGGTAAATTTGCTAACAGGGCCAGTGTAGCATCTGTCCAAGATAAGAATAAAGGGACATCAGCCCTTCTGTACAGACTGCTTCAGTGTCTGTCACGTTTACCAAAGCTGAGACAGAGGCTGCAGTAGAAAGAGAAAGGGTGGGACTTCAGCCCCCCTGAAGGGGAGAAGGCATGTAGAGTGCCCTCAGCTCTGGTTTGTCTGCCTGCCTCCTCTTGGTGTCATTCCTCCATATCCTTTAAACTTGGAGTTCGATGTATAAACTTGCACAGATATTCTAGTTTAACAGTTTTGGTAATATTTCATAGGGGAAACTAGGTACGTTATTTCCAAATATCCTGTTCTCCCAAATTCTTCTACCTAATGGATTTGACATCCATTATTAATCCCTGCCTAAGTCAATTTTTTTTTGAGTTTAGAAAACGGTGTTTTGCTTAGCACATCATCATTTCTACATTCATTAGCTGAGCTTTTTGTAAAGAACTTTCATCAACTGGGTGATTTCTTATAATGGAGGGCAAATGCTTTAGTCCTTCTGCTTTTAACCACCAACTTTCTGACTAAGAAATTGCTGTGAAGTCGCCTCCTGTGGTGAGGTGGTTCTGCGTGGGCTCTCTGCGCTCCCTGTCTTGTTGTGTGTCTTTGGACTCTTGTGTTTTGTTTATTCAGTAACTTATAATTGATTACAGACATCACTCCTTTTGAAGCTGCAGTTGTCCCCAGCTTGGTCCGTGGGATCTGCCCCGAGCAGGCTTCTGTGCCCTTTTATTGCACTCCCATTAGGCTCTGAGTCCTCTTTGCTTTTTGATTTGGAAGACTGCTAGGTTTTCTGTACTTGCTGGCATTTTTATTAGAATTATATCAAATGTATATATTAACCTGGGTAAACTGACTCTTTGTTGTTGAATGTCCTATCCAAGAATGTGGAATGTCTTTCATTTTTTTCAAAAATACTTTTTTTTTATGTCTTTTGGGAGTGTTTTAGAATTTTCTTTATATTAGTTTTGCACATTTCTTGTTAAGATCTTTAGTAAGCATTTCATCTGTGTTCCTTCTCTTCCATTTTGTTTTCTAAATGTTTTGTAATTCTTTGTGTGTTTTTGGTCTCAGGCCATGCTAATCTCGTAGGATGAGTTGGGAAGTACTTACAATTCTTGAATTTCTTGGAGGATTTTGCATAGAATCGGTAGTATTTCTTCCTTAAATGGTTGTTAGAATTCATCTGTGAAGCCATCAAGGCTTGCAGCTTTCTTTGTGGGGAGGTTTTTAACTACAGTTTCAATTTCTTTTGTAGATATAGGGCTATTTTTAGGTCATTTCTTCTTGAGTGAGCTTTGGTATTTTGTTTTTCAAGAAATTGTCTACATATTAATTATGTTACGATCAGTGGGTTCAGGGATTTCTCAGTCTGCTCCTTCTATTCTAAATTTTTCCACGAATGCCTGCCAAATGATGTGCACCATATGCATTGTTTTATCAGAGGTTACAAAATGATGACTTCCTAGTTCTGTCATGCCTCCTATGTCTATTATGCAGTATTCTTCTGTAAAGAAGGGTTTCCTCTTATCAGCTATTTAGTTACTATGAAATACAATCAGTACAGGAAAGGCAGGGTGTGTACTTGACTCTTTCTCTTCAAGTTGTGGAAGAGTGATTAATGCTCTGTCTTCAGAGATGACTTGTAAGTTTTTTTAGGGGAAGTATTATTATTATGAACTCAAGAATTAAAAAGTACAGTTTATATATTTTAGTCTATTTGCAGTCATACTCTTTTTAGTGTTGCTGTGGTGCTCAAGTCACCCTGTCACCCGTTGCCTTCGCTCATTTCTTCTGACCAGTCACCCTTGGCGGTTTGCTTGTGTTCTGCATGACACATTGAGCGAACCTCCAGCTTGGTTTGTCAGTTTCCTCCCCAGGCCTGGAATCAGCCATTTTCCCTGGGAATTCTGGTTCTTTTTAGTTCCCGCTACGCCGTGATATTTAGAGACCATAATCTGGATCCCCAGGATGCCCATTCCTCTTGAATTTTCATTCCTTTTACGGTTATGAGGAAGCAGAGCTAAGAAGTTTATAGATTTTATAATGTGAGTAAATATTCATGCATTAATTTAAAGATCTTAGGGTTTTTAATTAACTTATTTGATTATATACCTATATCTCTTAGGCCGAAAGTCTTTGTTCCAAACAACATCAAAATACATAATTTCAAAAAAACAATACTGATATTATAATAGTGAGCCTCTTGAATGCTCTTTAAATTAAGATTTTTCTTGTGGTTCTTGATGTGGTTGAGATGCACTGTGGTTGAGACATGCAGTCATGTTGCCTGACACAGCGCTCTGGGTGGTTGTGCTGCCACTTTGATGTACAATTAGAGTGATTCTTTCATTTGTTTTCATTTTTCAGGGTTGCTTTGTTTCTGTTTTTGCATTTAAAAAAGATTACATAAGATTTACATGTTTCCAAAGTTGAGACTGTGAACCGGGAAGTGCAGGGGGCTTGCTGGCCTCCTTGTACCCTCACCCTGTTCTTTCCCTCCCCAGGTAACCCTTCCATTAGCCATGGCTGCTGCTTTAAATGTTTTTAAAAAGTATGTACCATGCTGTACATCAGTATTTTCCTGTTTCTCCCAGCTTTTTACAATGAGGCACATGAGCCTCCTTTTAAGTTCCTTGCTTTTTCCCGATTAACAATATATTCTGTAGAACAAGATAGAGGTCTTTGCCATTTTCACTTTTTAAAACAGGTATAGGTAGGTGGTTTGTTAATAGTTTCTTTCCATGGTTTCCAGTCTTTGCTGTTGAAGATAGTGGTATAGTGAATAGCCTGGTTCATGCACTTTGTATTTTCCCGTCTTGCCTTTGGAATACTTTCTTACAAATAGGATTGTGGGTCAAGGGTAAATGCACGTATGACTTTGAAAGACGCTGCAAATAACCCTCTAGGAGGGGGTATTAAGATAATAAAATGTTTTGTTACTGAGTATTTTTGTTCTAGGTTTTTGTTAAGTGTTTTTACAAGTTAAGAAAGTTTCTATAGATCAGTTTTATAGATTAGTTTCTATAGAAAATTTCTGTAGATTAAAATCAGGAATTGTTAAATGCTATCGAATGCATCTTTGGTAACTATTGATGATCTTTCTCCTTTATACTATTAATACAGCAAGTTTCATTAATATGTCTTCTAATGGTAAACATCCTAAAATCCTAAGATACGCTTTTCTTGTCATACGCTTTTCTTGTATGCTGCTTTTTAAGTTATCAGTTTTGGTTATTTGGCATTTATTTTTTTTCCATTCACATTCACATACTGGAGCATCTGTAGTTTTCATTAAAAAAAACTTTCTGATGAAATTATCAGGTTTTCTACTTTTTATGAATTGGTTTTAGTATTCATATGATTACCTAGAGAATCATCTTCCTTTAGGTTTATTTTGATCTTTCTCTAGTTTCTTGAGTTGACTGCTTAGAATATTTAATTTTCAGGGTTTCTTGTTTCTCTTCAGGGCTCTTGTGCTATGCCCAGAATCTTGGACTCAGATTTAGAAAGGAATTGACAGGTGATCAAGAGAATTCAAGCCCCTCTCGGCTTGCATGAGCTCTGCAGCCTCGGATAGTGGTCCTGCCCTTTGAGGGTCCCACTTAGTTTTTCAAAGGCATGTGCATTCTTTCTTCTCTGGGCTTTATCCCATTTACCTTTCTCTTGTTACTTACAGTAACTTACAGTAGAGAATAAAACTTTGTCTCTCCTCCCAGTGTGTGCTGCTGAGGGTCCTCCTCCTCCTAGTGTCCCAGGCAGTGCACACGTACACGTGTGTGGCTGCTGGGACACAGAAGGCCGAGAACTTAGTTTCTCACTCTCCATGGTGCCAACACCCTGTCCTGTGGTGCCCCTCACTTCCAGCACTGCCTGTCTGCCGCGCTCTGCAGTCTCCTCCCCGGCCTGATGGCCATGCCCTCCAGGGGTGCGGTCTGTTAGGTCTAGGTCTTTCCGTGGGTACCTAAGAGCTACTACTCTCTCCAGTTCTAAGCAAATACAGCATAATGATTAAGCTTTGTGTGCATTCTTCAAACCATAGCTGTGCCCTTACTAATGAAGGTGATAGTGACAGAGAACATTTATGGGCACTTGTTACATGTTCTTGCTGAATGTTTTGTATTTATGGTAATTATTTAACTTAATCTTCATTGCAAGGCCTGTGGGTTGGGTGCCTTTATCTCTCCTGTGTTACTGACGAAGTGGCTGGAGCTGGTCGTGTAGGTCAGATCTCTAGTGACGTGAGCTCTTGCGGAGCTGAGCTCCATCTGTGTTCAGGCAGGCCTGACTCCAGAGCTGAGAGTCTTAAGCGCTTGGCTACACTGTCTCCTATATATTTGAACTTCTCAGTGGTGTGCTTCCAGAGTGTATCTTCTTGTGTGTGGCTCTGTTTGTCTTTACAAAGTGCTGGCGTGGTAAGGGTGGTCAGGTAGGGCCCAGCTCTGCTGGCTTGCTGGAGCAGACTTTAAACCCGTTTTCTGTTAATGTTGCTGACTCACTGAGAAGGTTACATGGTTATTATAACATGAAAGAGGCTAAGTAAAATAAAGAAGATTGGGAAACTGACGTGGGACTCATTCACTTTTCATTTGTTGTTTTCACAATAAGAAGACAAATTTTCAGCATAAAAGACTCCCG